TCTGCATCATTAAAAAGTTCATAAAGAAAATGGAGGACATGAGAACCAAGAGAGGGGCTGATGCGACCCCAGACTATCACTTGTTGGTAAGCGAAATGGAACCGAAATTCAAGAGTCACTGAACAACGTGGCAGGCAACATCACAAAATCTTAATACGGCCCTTATTCGAGACGTTGATAAACTCGACGAATTCATGATAATGTCAGCAAAAGATTTCAGGCCTTTCATGATCCACTCATTGAATAGGACACTACGTTTGAGAACAACTAGAATAGAATCAAAGAAGCAATAACTTTAACACGTCATACGGTTTTCAGGAAGAAGAACAACAATCACCAAGGATAGATCGCTGCGGATATTGTGGATCTAAAACAGAACATGAAGACAGTAATTAATATCAACCGAACAAGGGCAAAGAAAGTTTTGATGTGTGTGCTATTATGTTTAACTCGTTACAGCCTTTGGACAAAACTATTAGTTCACTATACTCAAGTTACTATTCACTCGTCTTTTGACCTTGTCAGTCATTCACTCATATCTTGGTCGATTTTATTCGTGTTTGTACACTCCTTACTCGCTTGTTACATGCCTGGCTTACTATGTCTCACTATAATTGCTTAGTCATGCTTCATCAGAGGGCATCGGCTCGCTCTCCTTCTCTGCTTCGCTCTGCTTGTATGCATTTTAATACCATGTCTGCAAGAACGATTGTCTGAAATAAACGCATCCAAACGAATCCGTATTCAGCTTCCTGTTACGGCCGTTGCACAAACGGTGTTCGCCTAAGAATAATATGCGGAAACTGATAGGAAGGGTTATTTAATAGATTAACTAATTCTTGATAAATATCAGAGTCAAATTGCAGGCCACTAAAGAGGTGAGTCGTAAATCGAATCTAACACAGCCACCAAATGTCAAAATACGAGATGAATGCACACAAGGACAGGACAAGTGAAAAGGAACATCAAAGCTGATAGGCAAAAATATTTGAAACAACTAGCAATGACAGCGGAGTAAGCACTAAGATAGCAAAACATGAAAAATCTTTATGATACAATGAATAAGCTAGATATAAATTATAGTTAACCAAAACAACGGGCGAAGATCAAGTGAGGCAAATAAATCACAGTTAAACAGGGTGTTAGAGGACTTTTAATAACTCTTAAATCGACGTGACCGTTTATTTCACCCAAAATTGAAGCAACACCAACGGACCTTCTAATTAATAATAATAAATGCAGTTCAACCACGAATAATGAAAGAGATCAGAAACGCCATCAAACAAATTAAGAGCACTAAAGCAGCAGGATCAGGCAACATTCCAGCTGAGGCGATGAATGCAGGCACAACGGCAACTGAAAATGTGTTGCACACTTTAGCAAGATTTGGGGGAAGAAGAAGACCTCTTCAAGATATGAAAGAAAGGAGATTTTAGCAAGTGCGAGAACTACCGAGGCATCACTCTTCTCTCAGTACTAGGGAAAGTCATCGACAGTGTTGTAAAACAGAACGAAAGATCCCACAGTTTCAGAGCTTCGAGATCAACAGATTGGATTCTGTAAGAGTCGAGCATATAGCAAACGAATTATATTAATGTGGATAATTGTGGTACAATCGAAAGGAATTCACCACTATACACCAACTTCCATGAAGAGAAAGCACCAACATCGTACAGAATTCTTGTGATGGACTAAACTGCGAAGTCATACATGGAGTACAGCTCACAGACTCGTTCCAAATGAGGACAAATGTCACGCAATGGTGCTTATTCTCACTTTTTCTCTCATCACCCTATATCGACTTTCTTGACTAGAAAGCGTGGACATGTAAACACTATGGCGTGCCTGAGAAGATAGTCATCGGAGTGCGGAATTTTTACGGTGGATTAAACGGCAAAGTCAGGCAACACGGACAGCCGTAGATTTGTTGGCCAACCTAGTGTTCTGATATCCAGAAACCCCACTGCACTGAAACCAACGTTTTCATTCAAACCCCGAGACGTACAAACTCACAACCAAATGTCAACTGACTAGAATTAGACAGTCGAGTGGCTGTACCTCCATAGACTGGACGTTACCGAACACCTGGAACAGTACCGAAAGAACAAGAATCGAGCGCGAAGAAATCAAATTGGTTTACACTAGCTCGTGAAAAAGATATTGGATATTGGATATGGATAGATCAAACTGAACTACAAAAAGTTGTTATGTAACGCATTCGAAACCTTACTCTATCAACTCCAAGTTTCGTTTATCAGTTTGTCTTAATCTCACGCTGGCTTTATATCTGGTTGCTGTCTATTTATTCGTATATTGCATTTAAGTGAATTCTATGTGCTGACTGAGTCGTCGGCTCATCTTTTTCTCTTGTTATTTCTTCTTCCAGTTAATCTCATACGCTGCTCCTCACATCCACCTCCCCCTAGCACACAGGGTACCTTCGGGTTAAACGCAAACCAACCAAAGGCTGAAGTTACAGTTAATTATGACCAAATGTGTTAGCGAAATGAGTTTGTTTCACTCATAACTTTATCAATTAATGGATAAGCTGGATCTACATTCCAAATAAAGTCGTACGAATAAGGGTTCAGAGGCGTCGTTACTGAAGATGATTGGATGAACGGTTGTGTAAATTTCAAATTCAAGGTCGCCGGCAAAGGTTGGTCTGTTGGATTTTCATACACCTGCATATATTACTCAGTCGTAAAACATAAGTATCTAGTTATATGTGTGAAGTACTACATATATATTTTTATGCAAAGAGATTATTACAAAATAAGTATTTCGTGTTCAAGCGTCAGGAGAAACTTCACCTGATCTTCATAAGTATGGCATTGACCTTGACTCCGTTCTCTTATGTACTATTGAGTTCGATGTGTGTCGGAATCTTTGCCGTACTTTCTGCAACGACCAACATAAATTGTATTCATAAAACCCTGACCCATTAATTTGCATTCAAAATACATCAATAATTCGTTCGAGTCAACTCACGTTTTCAGCCTAAAACTTTGGAGATGCTATTAAACATCATCCAAGGTTATTTCTGCTAAGTATATTAAATGTGAAAACGGTCCCCCCAACCGGTGAATCAAGAAGTAAGACACCTAAAATTACCTGCCTCAATCACTCTTGTAATATACCATGTGTAGATTATCTTCGCAGTTTTCCATCTCTCAGACCATCTGAAAGCTAGTATGCTGGAGATAGTCTTGATTATGCATTATAGAAAGTTTCTGAATTCCAGTGAATAGCTTTACGGAATGACCGCTGTGTTTCATGTTAACCTACACTGACGAACCAATCGTGCGTAAACGATCAAAGTAAAATGTAAACCAGAAGAAATCTTAAGTCAAATTACTGATAGCTTGTAACTCGATAAAAGATGTATGCTCGGATAACCGACTATTTCTAGCAAACACTAACTTTAAGCATAAGGAAAAGCATCTTTTGACCTGACGACCCCAAAGTCATCTCAATGATGGACCCAACTAGATCACATTGCCATCAGCCACCGATGGAGAGGTTCGATAGAGGACTGTCGCTCGTTCTGGGACACACGTTTAGATCCAGATCATGCCCTAGTACGAGCGTGTTTTTGTTTAACAGGCAGACCGACAGATACAATGCAAAACTTCCTACATACGCACATCAATTAAGCTTGCCATACCATATCAGCACAAAGACGCAACTGTCAGTTCAAATCCAAGAGTGATAGCGACAGTAGAAGTATTAACAGTAAGGAGTGAAGATATGATTCGAGAAGTATAATTCAGTGAGATAAATTTGGAAGGAGAAAAGTAGAGATTATGAGGAATTCAGAAGGTTAGAATTAGAGAAAACACAAAGAGTGGATGCACCTGCGCCATCGCAAACGATTCTGAGCCATGTCGTTCAAGGTCGCTAACCATCGGTGACTTTCGTCTCGCAGACCCCAAACAGGTAACCTACATCTACCAACATGACTCAGTCCACTTGTCAGTGACTTCATGAATTTGCACCGTGTTTTGGTCTGGCCTCACCTAGCTTTTTTCCAACCTACTCCTACACCACAAAACATAGCTCATCGACGAAGACGTTGGTTGAGCATTCGTATCACATGTTCTAACCACCTCAACTGATGGAGTTTCACTACTTCATCCATTGATTCGCCATCCCTACCTAAAACTCGTTTCCTAACGACAGCATTGCTCACTTGGCTGTACCAGTATATACGAGCAATGCTCCAAAGACATCTATAATCGAAAAATAATAACCTAAGAATGTCTTCTACTTTTACCAGCCATGTTTCACATCCATCAAGTAGGACAGAGAGAACTGCTGTGCAGTATACACAAACTTTAGTCAGCAAACGGATATCTCGCCTACGCCATAAGTGACGCAACTTGGCAAAAGCCAATCGAGCCTTCTGTATCTGTGCTGAGAAGTCGCCAGTCACCAGACCATCAGCAATGATGAGACTACCGAGATAAGTGCATTCATTCTTTATGTTCTCCCAAATTCTTAGCTTTAGACTTCCTCATCATCTCTGTCTTTCTTTTCCCGAAGTTATCTCACTGAACTATACTTCTTGAACAATACGTTCGATCCCTAATATTCTCCCTTACCGGTAATTCTTCTCCTATCTCCATCAATTTGTGATTTGAACTGACGGTGGCGTCTCTGTGCAAATAAGGTATGGCAGCTTGAACTAACGTACATACAAACGAAGTTCTACGTTGTAACTGACTTGACTTGACTAATAGTCCACGTGCAGACTGAAGGTTCTGAGTTCGGTTCTCGCCCTCCGGGTCATGGATGCCCACTACACACTTTCAGAACAAATCGGCCGTTCATTACTTCTGGGTCTTCAATGATTGTCTAACACTGATCGATTTATTATTTCAATGAAGGTAAATTCATTGTCGTGTTACTATTTAATTTCACCAATCTTTTAACTGTGCCAACTGATATTTTACTAACTTTTATTATTCATTGCTTAATGTTCTGTTCATTTATTCTGCAGATGCATCTGTAATAATTTTCCGAAACATTCTAAACCTTTAATTTACAACATGCAGTTGACTGATTCAAATTGTTTCGACTTTCCATCTTCTTCAAATTATGTATATACACTTAATGAAGCCACAGATGATCAGTCCAGTTTCATTCCACCCGAAGCAATCAGTCAAGCCGACAATCAAAAATATGCGTCGGACGGACTTTCAGCTACATGTATTGGATTTTGTTGCCCTATATGTCACTGTCTTTTCAATTCTTCCGATCAAATGTCTCGGCACTTGAATATCCATAACACCGGCAAACCGTATGTTTGTTCCCATTGTAATTCTTCATTTAATCAAGCTGAAAATTTGTATGTACATATTTCATTACATCACACAATATGTGAAAATCAAGATCATTACAGTTGCTGCTTATGTGACAAACAATTCACTCGTTTCACTGCTTACAAATCACACTTGTTGCTGCATCAAGTCGATGAAAATTTTGTTTGTTCGGTTTGTGAACAGTCGTTCGAATCAGTCTCTTTGTATGAGAAGCACTTTCACATATGCACAAATACCACTGTCATTAGTAAAACTCCATCTCAATATCGATGTCGAGTTTGTGGAATGCTCTTATCTTCTGTTGGTAAAATTAAACAACATTATCGCCGTAGGCATCCTTGTTATCGTCCACACTCTACGGTAGTCACAGAAACTAATGTGCAGCCTTCGGTAGATGTCAGTGCAGAAAATATCAGAATTAGTAAACTTCGTGCTGCTGATTATCTCTCAACTGTACTAAAAGGAGACCGACGTCAAGGCAAGAACTCACATCCTATGTTGGATCAGTTCATTTATCAAATACCTGACGAAGAACCAATTATCCAGAACAGTTCTGATGCAACAAAATCAAAGCATAAAAAGCGAAAAGCCCCTTATTTGTGTTCAGTGTGCCATAAAAAGTTTGTCAAACCTTCCTTACTTAAACGTCATATGACAATACATACAAAAAATAAATCATACGAGTGTGTATTGTGTCACGCTAGATTCACCCAAAAATCTTCTGCAAAGACACATGTGCTGCTTCATATTAGTTCACTGAATCTCCATCCGAGCTATCGCTCCACAGAAAATGGTATAGAGTCGTCGCTTCCTGTAATGGCAATCAACAGTGGCTTACAGGAAAATGCTGCGAACACATTTCATGGTTTAGATTCTCACACAACACTTCATGTAGACTCTGGTATTGAAATCTTGACTTTCCCGGATCAGAATGATACCTTAAACTGTACAGCTCTTCCAAATAACCCTGTTATTTTACAGTCATTTATTCCTCAGTATCATGCAACAGGAAATAACTTAGATGAAATAAGAACTGATCACCTTGATCCCAATCTTATCCCCTCAGTTCCTACCTCAAATCTGGAGATAAATTATTCTTATCCCCAAATGTTTGGTTGTCCAGTGTGTTATAAAACATTCCGACTATCTAGAAGCCTGGCAGTGCATATGCTGCGTCATTCCGTAGTTGATTGTAAAAGTTATGAACGGACCCCAGGTACTGAAGATTCAATTAAGCGGAAACGTAGGCGAAATAGATGGACTACCAAAATATACGATAAATCTAAAAACTCATGTTCAAGAAAACTCCTACATAAATTTAATCGGTGTATTCATTGCTTCAAGGTTTTCCGATCTGTAAATCGCTTAAAACTGCATATTTACAAAACTCACCATGGCAGTTGTACTATATTTCTGTGTCGCAGATGTCCTCGTAGATTTATATCTAGCTTGGGTTTAAAAAGGCATATGAATCTACGTCATCGTTGTGTGAAAGGTAACAATATTTGTCCTATATGTCAAACATTATTTTTGAATTTGTCGGCATTAAAGTCTCATATGAATATTCATTCTAGTGAACGGCTATTCAGCTGTTATATATGCCATAAGAGATTTCAGTTCCTTCATTCTTGTCGTCAGCATGTACTTAACCATTCCATTATTAAATGTAATAAAAAACGGATACATAATGTACGAAAAATGTCGGAATCTTGTACAACCGATATAGTAAAAGTTCCTAAATATCCTATTCTCCGAACTGTAATTATGGATAGATCATCTAAATCAAAAGATGCAAGCTCATGCTCAGATCCCAACATCACTGTAGGGGACTTCACGAATACAGTTGCAAAGCTTTCTCTGTATAACAATACAGAGCCTAATACTTTTAGCTCAGTTGTAGTACATGGTCGGTTGCCGTCCAATAACCTAAACGATGTATTTGTCCCACTACCGAAATCTGTTTCTCATCATCAAACTCTCGATTTTCCTACTGTAATCAATTTTGGAAATAACTTCGAAAACTCAGAAAGTACTAGCGTAGTTACTAAACCTTTCAGTCAGTCTTCACAACATCAATCAGCTCTATGGATCAATTCTTCAGATCAAAATCAACCTTATTGTATCCCAAATATTCCCTCAAATAATGTAGTAGATCAAGCTCTTGACTTATTGGTCATTGATGCTTCTCAAACATTTAACTCAACAGAAGTGCCCATCGAAGATTCACTTGATCCTTACCAAGAACCTGTTTTATTGGCTCCAGATAATGTAGAATCCCCAAAATTATCTTCAAACCTCAACATAAATTCCTTACTTAATACTCAGTCTTTTATGTGTACTGTTGAACCGTTGGAAGACAATCGGGCATCTACTATTTGTTTCACTTCAAGTGCATATACAACTAACATAAATACAGCCATTTCGGTAATAAATGATTTTAATCAAGTTGGTAATGCTAGTCCTGTTCATGAAACTCCTCAACCTCCTGAAAAAACTTGTTTAACCGTTCATAATTCATGTTCATTTGAAAATACAACTTCTGGTATCATCAATTCGAGTTCATTTCCAATGTTATCAACACAACAGCTGTATGGTTGTGGGTTATGCAATATGGTTTACGGAGATGCAGAAAGTTTACTTCAGCATAATCGTATATCTCATAGTTATGTTCCGAAATCTTTTTCATGTTCCGAATGTCCGCGTAGTTTCACAAATCCAACCCTGCTTCTTAGCCATTCACGTATACATAGTTCAGAATATGATGGGATACTGAATTGTCCTTTGTGTCCCATGTCTGTATTCACTAAACAATCGGCTCTTAGTCGCCACATTATCTATTGCCATCCACTGCCTCTCTCAGAACCGTTTATGTGCACAAACTGTGGCATGCGATTCATGATGCTTCGCTGTTTGAAATCTCATGTGAATAATATTTTGAATGGTGTCGATATATGTGTATCGAAGTCATCAGTTGAACAACAAGAAAGTAACAATATTGTGATTAGCAATGAACTACAGAACGATGAAAACGCAACCCAATTAAACAAAACGTCTAATTTGAAGAGAAATACTCATCACGTATCAAGTTTGTCCTCTAAATTAGTTGACGAAATAGCAAAGTTACAACCATCAAATCATCTGTCCTTATCAGAAAAATATTTGATTAAAGTAAGTTTAATCTAACATGAAATTAAGAACTACTGTTTCGTCTACCTCCACTTTCTCCATTCATGTTTAATTTTGTTGCATCGGCACCTGAACTAGTGATATGTAGTGAAGTAGTCGAGCGTGTAGACCGCTTTACTTATCTCGGTAGTCTCAACATTGCTGATGGTCTGGTGACTAACGAAATCTCAGCACGGATAGAGAAGGCTCGATTGGCTTTTGCCAAGTTGCGTCACTTATGGCGTAGGCGAGATGTACGTTCGGTAATCAAAGGACGAGTGTACTGTGCAACAGTTCACTCTGTTCTACTTTATGGATGCGAAGCATTGCTGGTAAAAGTAGAAGACATTCATGGGTTATTAGTATTCGATTATGTACGCACGTACGTAGTTCTACGTTGTAACTGACTGACTGACCTTAAATAAAAATATTGCGTCTAATCTAATCTAATCCTGTTTATAGTGAGTAAGCCTATTCATTCTGTAAAGAAATGGGGTACTTATTTCAGAATCTCTCCATGATTTTAAACCATCATAAGATCTGTTACGTATTCATAGAAAGATCTTACTTTTTCGTCACATTCTAAGACCCTTTCTTGATATGATAAACGATAGTGGCACATAGAAGGTCCAAAGGAAAAAGACGTTAGTATATTTATAGATTTCTTACATGAGGCGATTCTAGAATGTTCCCTCAGTATCGGCTAGCGCTGATTCGGATACTAAAGAGTCAATCAGCGTGCAGCAACTTAATCATGCTATAATCCAATCTGTCTTCCATTCTAACCTTGTTGTTGGAACATAATTTCCTGTCCAACCGTGTTCTGATTTTGGGAGAACATCTCGAGTGGATTGGTATGCCAGAATACTAAATATTGGGAATAGCTGAGTTGTAATAAATAGAGAATTATAACAATAAATAAGTCGGAATGGTGATATCATAAGTATATTCAAGTGGCTTGGTCGCTTTTCATCCACATCATCAAGCCACAAGTTATTGTGAAATACATTAATTTGGATTATTACACTTTTGTGCTAGATTTCATCCGTAAAACATCTGGTGTTTAATTTTCGCTATATGATCATTCGTGAAACGAGATCGCTTTATGCTGAAATTGTGTTGAAAACTCTTAATTAAAACCCGCTTCTCATTTTAGTGTTACAACCATGATATGAACAATGACTACAATGCTACCAAAGCTTTTCATTTATTTACTATTCGTTTACTCAATCACCAACGTGAGAGAACTTCCACGGTGTGGCAGCCGAAGAGTTATATCCTCCCTCATATCCATAAAAGCACATGAGACTAAAATGGTCACAATCAAATCCTTTCTACACCTCCTAATAACTCTCTTATCTCCTCGACCAACTCTTCCTTCGATCGTTTATCACCTCGCGCCACTGAAGCAAACGGGATTTGAATTGATAATTGTGTCTTTGTGCTAACGTGGTATGGCGACATGAACTGATGTACGTACGTACGAAGTTCTACGTTGTAACTGACTGAGAACTTGAGAGATTGATTATTATTTTTAATATTGCTCAGACACCAACCAGTACTGCATTCAGATTGTTGGTTTTCACTAAAGTTAGATACTTTTCGAAAATTCTTTAAAATTTACAAATTATTAAATAAAATTAACGTACATTCTTAGATAATCGAATATTTCGGGCTTTCAAGTAAATTCGAATGTTCTAGTTTATACGCAGCAATCAATCCACAAAATACTCTTGAATAATTTACCGTAATGACAATAGATTTTTTGATAATTTTTAATATTGGAATTATTATTTGCTAAATACTATTTAATGCTTTTACATCTAGGCCGCTAGAGAACGCGTTGAGAAGACTGTCAGTTTTCCAAAAAATTCCATTGATTCACATTCACTAAACAACAATCAGTCTAGTTTTCCTCTCAGTGGAAATATGTGTAATATATGTCATAAAAACTTTACAAGAAAATCAGACCTTCGATATCATCTCAATATACATTCTGGAATTCGACCATATGAATGTGACAAATGTCATCGACGCTTTATGAAACATTCTCAACTGCGTCAACATAAATTTCAAGTACACGAATTAAATATACCTAAACAACTTATAACATCTAAAAAGAAAGCATTAATGAAACATGCCCTTATCTGTCATTTATGCGGTTCCGGGTTCTCGTCTAGAAGCAGTCTACGCTTACATGTAAAATTACACACTGGTACTCGAGGTTATGGTTGTTCAAATTGTAATGCTGTTTTTCATAACCCTAGTCATAGAAAACGTCATTTACTGAAGTGTAAAGCGAATCTTCCAAGAAACAATGAATTGGCTACTTCTAATTTTTCATCCGCTTTGCATCAGAATATTTCTGAACATGATGTCATGAGCATAAGTAATCTCCAAGAAGGAAATAATTATGAATTAAATAAAGTATATCATTCTCTTAAAGATTGTATATGTGATAGTGGGGTTTCAGAACACTGTACCAAGTGTACTCTATATTTGGATATATTATTATACTCAGAGGAAACACCAACCAACGATGAGATGCTTAAAAATCACATTTTAAATTTACCAAATAACATAAATAATTCTGGTCCCGAACCAGTTAATATGTCAATAGTTTATCCTGAAATTACAAACCACGGTGTTAACAACCAAGACAATCTTGTCAATCCTGAACAATCCTTTGTTAATCACAATATTTCAAACACTATTGATATTGCAAATGGACAACAGTGTCAATATCTTTTAGATTCAGCTTGTGATGTGAATGAACTCAATCAACACTTTATCACTAACAATAATCACTTGGGCGATACAATTAATATTCATGATAGTAATCAAGATATAAATAATAACACCAATCCACTTGTTTTATATTCGGATGAGAATATATTTGGTTTTGTACCATGTACAGATATTTACTGCAATGATACGTCATACAATAATCCTGAACACTTGAATGCTGCTTTAGAAAATGAACCAATGAATTCTTCCATGAATACCATTCAACCACTTAATACCAATACTACTGATAATGTCAATATAAGTAGTCAAATCCATGATGATAATAATAATCTAACCACTTGTTTGACAAAAAATACAACCATAATAAAAGCTAAATCCAATGTAAAATATTCTCAAAATAAAAAATTTCAACGTTTATTCAATTGTCCAACTTGTCATAGGACATTCACTAAGAGATCATCTTTAACTAGACATGAACGAATTCATAGTATGATTAAACCTTTTGTATGCCGATTTTGTGGTGCTAGCTTTACTCAAAGCTTCAGTTTAACTAGTCATGAATTAATACATATTGGTGAAAAACCTTATAAATGTTCACAATGTAATGCTAGCTTTCGTCAATCATGTAATTTAAAAAGGCATTTAAAATTAGTTCACAAATGAATGCATGTTAATTAATGTAGGATATTTAAATACGTTCAGTTCTTTTTTTTTGCATTTTTATTCACAAACTGGGAATTGTACTTTTGTAAAAAAAAAAATTTATTTAGACTAAATATTACTGGAATAGTTATGACTCATACTTTATAATATTTGAATGTAACATATTTTCATCTGATTTGATTAAATCAGATTAAATTTACCTCATTTTTTTTCATTCATTTCATGCATTCACATACAATTCACTATCAATAAAGCATACATTAAATGATGATGAATTATATCAATGCTGTATTGTGATAAATCATAAGTAAAATTTAAAAATGCATTTATTATTCACTTTATGATTCTATTTCTTTTTTTAGTGTGTTCATTATTTTTTTGTTTTTCTTTTTTAATGTTTGTAGATAGATGAATAATTACATTTTTGTGTTACGATATTATTGTACATTTTTTTCATAGAAAGGTATTAGTTGTGTGTGTTGTACTCTGTTGTAATAATTTCAGCATCAAATAATTCAGTCAATTGGTTTGTAAACGTTGCGTAGATTGATTTTTATTTTCTGTATCTTAAAATTAATTGGATTTTGTGTGTATTGTTTTAAAAATAATTCTTCTTTGAAATGCTTAGCCGGCCATAATAAATCTCGTCATTTCTGTATATGTCACTTTATAGAATAACTATATAAAAACCACATTATCAAGAATAGTAATTGAAAGATACATTGAAAAATAGTATAAATATTTTTTGGTTATCATAAACGTACCTGCCGCGGGCCGGCATTCTCCAACCTACTCTGCCCTAGGCCTTCTTTTCCGGTTCTATCTGGTTGCTGTTCATTCTTATCACACCTGTCTCTAACACTTCGCGTTCTGTGTTCTTTAGTTTTCCTGTTTTCCTTGAGGATTCTAGACGACGGTTTGTCTTGTCACGCAGGTGAGTGCTTTCTTCAATGTCTGTCCTATCCACTTCCAACGCTTCTTCTTGATTTCTTCCTCCCCTGGAATATGGTTTATTATCTCCCTCAGTAGGTTGTTGCCGATGATGTCTGGCCACCGAATGAGAAGCATCTTGCGCAGACAACTGGTTATAAACACTTGTGTCTTCCGGATGATGGCTTTCGCAGTTCTCCAATCTCCACCCCATACAGTAGGACTGTCTTGAAATTTGTATTGAATACTCTGACTTTGATGTTGACTCGTGTGCTTTTATGGGAATGAGGGCGGATGTTATTTCCCGGCTACCCACACCGTAGAAGGTATTTGTTTTGAGTTCCAGATATACTTCAATTATAGAAATGATGATCTTGCTTTACAAATCCGCTCCTTCATATCTGCATCAGGTCCACCTTGTTCATCAATGATGCTCCCCAGATACATGAAGGTTTTCACATCCAAGTGTGATTTGATTGGTGTATTTTTTGTTGCACCGAAGGATCTTGTTTTTTCCCTTGTGCTTGTTAAGACCCACTGCTGCAGAGGCTGCTACTACACTGGTCTTCTCCTATATTTCTTATTGCGTGTGGGATATAAGGGCTACCGGGATTTTGATATTTTATTGACAAGCTTTGCTTGTTACATCAAGAATTGTTTAAGTATAAAACCATTATGATTAATTAACTTAAAGAATATACATACATGTAATTGGCTGTTGTAAAAAGGAATAAAATACTTTATATCATACTCCCCAAAATGTCGTATTTTTTCCTTCATGTAAGTTCAGTTTTTAGAGAAACGCCAACAGTGGTAATACACTTGTGGAGCCTAGATTAATAACACCATTAAGACATCTGACTGATACAGACCTACTGTGTCAGCAGTTTCTGTGACCACATACATGAGGAGCGAAAATCGAAATTGTAATTTTCCAAATCACGTACGTTCAAATGTAAAAGTTATCCATATTTGTTGCATATCGAGGATATGCAACATGTTAATTTAGAATAACAATAAATTTCATGTGATCATGTAACACACAAATATCGATTTAGTGCTGTGATTTCCGGTGTATTATATGTGTTATAAAGAAATAAATATTTTAAGTGCATAAACTGTTATTACCTGTGCCTAGCTATAGTATCCAGTCATTTAGAAATGTTCAGTATTAATCTGCTCACTGAATACTCATGCAAAACTGACCATAGTTGCAATTAATGCCTTTTACTAATTTAAATTGGCAGTTTTTCAATAAACATGATAAGTAATTCCTTAGGCTCAATTAACGAAAACTCTGAATTGAAATTTAAGTCAGTCCATTGAACGTACTACCCATGAATTCCAATTAAGTATTTCCAACAGTTACCCTAGATAGTTCTAAATATAAGTTTGGTTGGAAAAACGTCGTAAATTAGACTGAATACTAAGGCCACTTAGAGCAGTCCACATACATATTGAAACAAGACACAATCAATTCTACAAAATGATAAGGAATGTCGGTGACAAAGCTAGTCAAAATAATTATGCAAGAAATAACAGTAAAACTGTTGACAATGATTGGTCAAGTTTAATATCAGTCGAGTAAGTTGTCAGTCTATTTTGAGATGATTTTCATATTTCAGCTAAGTTTTAAGTTTGTTTTGATGATGTATAAAATGATACTGAATGTTTCAAAATTTAGTCATTCAGCTGAATGAACCCAATTTCACTTATATCATCCTTCTTAACCACAAATTTTCACTGTTTTCATATTACTATTGATTAAAATAGACACCAACATTTACTGAAAACAAAAAGTGATTTCTTTCCACTAACTTTATTATTAAGCTGTACATAGTAGAAATGATAAATTGTCATGTTGTAGGTGAATTAAGGCATCTGAATACAACAAAAAATATCAACAATAATGATTCTAGTACACTAGCAATAACGTACATAAGACTGATAATCAATTCTTATATGAGATACTTACACCTGTTACCCCCAATGGAGCACAGGCCGTCGGTCAGATTATATGAGATGCTCATTATAATCATTGTTTCTTGTTTTTTTATCATGGAGTGGAATAGGAAAGAAATCAATGGGATATGGAAAACAAGTCCAGTTAAGAGAATTGTGTCAGAAGTATAGAAAATGGAGATAATAATTATCGTTTAAGACCGAAATAAACAGGAAAAATAAGATATATTTCTCCCATGGTCAGATTTCTTCTCGTGAACAGACAAAAATTTCAATATGTCATAGCTGAGTAATTAATTCACAATAAATAATCGATAGTTATAATTTAAATCTTGAGTAATTGGCTTGTTTTATTTAGATATCAACTCCGTAGTGATGAAGTGTTCGATTGTAATACTGATAAACGAGTGCGACTGGTCACTTGAGTGAGAAACCATTCGATTTTGCTTATGTTCTTGCTGACTGGGATCCGTCCACAACTTTTACAACCAACTACAAACTGACGCAGCATATGCACTGCCAGGTTTCTAGATAGTCGGAATGTCTTATAACGCACCGGACAACTAAACATTTGGGAATAGAAATAATTCATCGTTAGAAACCTACACATTAGGGCTGATCAGTGTTCCAAAAAAAGTGAAACGATCGGAACACTCAACAACTAATTTAAAAGCCGGTGCATACCAATCCTGAAACAACGATTTGCATTTGGAGCGAAAGAATTGCATCCAAAACATGCTAGCATTACTGTTTAAGGTTTTCAGACAACCAGTTACAACGTAGGACTTTGGTTCTCTGAGTTCAGAGAACCAAACACCACCACCACAGAAATTCTATCACATGTCTAAATTAAACCCAGAACCGAGAACCGACACATTCAAATCGTTATATCGATTTCAACTGTACATACGCATTCTCGGGTTTTTAATCTATTCAGAACACGTATTAAGATCATAACGATTCAACTGAAATATCTTTGATCGGTACCATAGTTTTATCTAACCGCTAAGGTACGATGAAAGAATTGCAACCCATCTTGAAAATATATAGAGTTAGAGCTTTCTGAACAACAATACACTTCTCTAATTAAGAAAAATATCCTGTTTAAATCTATAGATTAATTTGTGTCGATTGTGATACATTTCGTATTATGGATCCTTCTCGTACAAAGGAATATTTAAACTGTGCAAAAGGACTTCTTAATAATCCTAAAGGCCTGGAAAGTCTACAAAGTTAATTGGCAATATCAGTACATGATATGTTCGATGACCACCAAATCAATGTAAAAGTAATCCAGAAAGGTGACTAACTTGATGCTTCTGTCCTACATTAAAAAAAAACATGACTATTCATCTAACTTGAACTGTTTATCTAAACAATCACATGTACATTGGTTCATTTCTTACACCACCTTCACACACATACGAATTTTAACCCTACTGCTTCATACTATAAATTTCGTATCCGCACACTGATGCCTCAAACCCTAATATTACATCAACATAATTTTAGTAAGTTAATAATTAAGTCATTTCGAGGAAGTTGCTTATACCAGGTCACAAGATGTCAGAAATTCACATATTTGACTCGCTGGGTTATCACAAATATCATCATTCCATTGATAAAAATTAGATAACATCTTTAAGATTTATTTCCGTTGCAGGTATTTTTATTAAGTACTTCCTCTAATACTATCAAGCCAACGTACATTTACAGTTAAAATAAGTTTCACTTAGTTGTCCATACGTGATCAATCAATAAATTATGAAACCAGTCATATTTGTAATGAGATTACAATATCGTTCGTTTTTTGGTCAAATAAAAACAGACCTTAGCAAGGTCGGACTCAGTTGAAGTGATGGGCGTCTAAAGTAAAATGCCATTGATCGGTTATTTATTGATGGACATGTGGTGTTCTTTTTCAAAAAACGCAAGATAATGTATCAAAATATGACTTTCACTGTAGCGCATAGATAATGTGTATATTACTATACACCTACTTCAAGTGTGGGTTAGTTGGTAAATTATTTACATCCCTAATGTATACAGAATGTTTAGAAACATGAGATCATTAGAGATAATGGTGTGCTTCATTCTGAACATTAAAAAATAATTCAGCTTGTGGTCCTTTGTTGCGAATAGTTTATTTACATCACCTTAAAAAAGCTGTACATTTTAATTTCTGGTTTAACGAGACGTTTAGATTAGCTTCCTCAAAAAGGCAAGTATGTATATTTATATATTTATCAGTCTGTTAATTATTTCATGTACTACCCAGTTCGTTGGATGCGAATTTCACTTTTTACCAGATAAGCAAATAATATAACATAGTTCTTTTTTTACAATTGTGGGTCTACCACTGAAGAATAATGAAATCATCTGAAGTATTACCTCTTTTCTTTTGTCGGCCCAAACCAGTGTATATTCAATCATAAGTACCCACACCTGCGTTTTGCTCTAATCACGACAACATATATGAGCTAAACCAGAAGGTCGCATATGTACGTTCATTAGGAAAAGTTGGTTAGCACGTTGTTTCTCTTTTATGTGTAATTTTAAAAGATTGTGGTAAGTAGTTGGTGCTATGATATGTGTTTGCGATGTGCGCGTTTCGTGCAACCAATTCAATTTGATCCATAAGAAGTGATAAACACATATTAGGGTTGACCAAACTCCGCCAGTAGAACCTTAGGGGCTACTGCCGGTCCCAAGCCCGGATAAAGGAGGAGGGTTGGACATGGGGTTGGCGACCCCATTCCGTTGAAATCTCACTT